GACCTCAGATGAATAATAAACACTAATAAGAAAAGGAAATGGTAAGACGAGTGAGACAAGGCAGCTTCGCGGGGGCACCAATCACTAAAAAAAAAAAAAAAAAAAAAAAAAAAAAAAGCAGTATTACAGGACTTCCAGTCTAGCTGTCAGACAAGAAGTCATCAAATAAAATTTTATAGAAACCATCTTCTTTTCGATGGCCAATGAATATGATGCCGACTTTTAAATGTTTATTTACCATCATCATCGCCGTCATTATATCCTGGTCACGTAGATGATGTTTGGGATTAATATGCAACTGTCTTATTGTTTGTTTAGTATTGTGATTAATGTTGGTATTGTGTTAGTTATTACCCATGTATTATATATTATTGTTGTCGTTACGAATAGTAACGATTAAGGTTGCAAGACTAAAAATAATTACCGAAATTTGTTATTTTTGATATGCATTATGCAGTTCCAAAGAATTATTTTACTTTGAGTATACTGCTTTGATTACTTATATCACAAGAGCTAATTCCCTATAAACTTCACGTTTGAAAAGACACGCAACACCAGTAGATTTTCTCTTAAATTCGTCATACCAAATTTTACTGCAAGCAACGAAATCCCCAGCAGAAAAATTTCCTTATTTAAATTCAGCATTATATATGTGTGTATGTGTGTACAGAAAATGTTGGCGCGACACCTTAGAGCTCCACAGTCGTTCAACACATGTATATCGCAGCGGAAGTGTAGACCAAACGCGGTCACAGCAACATGCACGTGACAGCACTTTCTGCGTACTTCCGGTGTTTCGCGTGATGTGCAAGCAAACTGAGAAATATACGCAGTCAATAGCGTGTTTTTAGGCGTTTGGACCCAGGCTTAGCGGTTCAAGATCTGGCATTTGATTATTCTGCTTTGGAACTAGACATTAGGTGTACCTTTAGTGTCGATTGGCATAAGATTTAGAATAGGATACCATGGAAAATTTAGAATACTCTATTATAGGGAATGATAAGCTAATCGAACACCATATGTTTTCAATAACAAGTGTGTTGTTTCCAAGTAACAGTATTACGCGTTACGCGGTTGGGCTAAAGTGGAGGAAGGAAGGATACATACAAGAGCTTCATAAACAATTGGTGGGGACTTCAATATACCTGAAAACCTTTACCGCGCATTCCAATTTTTACTTTAGTTTTAGGCTACTTGCTTCCCGTGTGGGCAGTTATTGCGATAAAAATAAATGAATTTCCTGTCCACGTGTTTATGGCGTGGCCGCAGCCTCAGCGTACAGGGCTACGCACATACACTGTTTTTGTTTTTATGAGCAAAATAAATGGTCGATTGACTCGACACAACTAATACCTACCTGTGAGCAAAAGAAATATGCATTTACATACTTGAATACAATACTTACCTAATTTTGATTTATTCAGGCAATGTAATCATAACATATCCAACTTTGTCTCCAAGGAAAATGTTAATGTTTGGCTTGTTCAGTCAGGGAAATCTGACGTTTTGGTTCTAGTTCGTCCTAACTTCTGACTGATACGTCCACCCAAGCATAGTAATGAACTTGTGGATGCGAGGGCGAGTAAGGAAAACGAGAAAGAACAAGGACATCATGCAATGTCCTTGGCATAGATTGCAAGAAGCTTGCAACATAATTAATGTTCTCTGACTATGGAGATGCTTGTTTTGTCTCGAATTATAATATCAAACAAACATAGAGTACGTAAAAATCCGTACTAGTTTCCTGACAAAAAAAAAAAAAAAAAAAAAAAAAAAAAAAAAAAAAAAAAAAAAATATATATATATATATATATATAATATATAATATATAATACATAATATATATATTATTATAAGAAATGTAGTAATGTGTAAATTCTCTTATTACAACAAGACAGATAATTCTGTCCCATCTATTTTATCTGCAATCCTTATCGTTTTATCAATGAAAAATACAGGAAATCAAACAGGAATGATCAAGGTCTATTCACGTAGTCAACGTTTAATGGAAAATGAAGAAACAAATCAGAAAATACACATAAGGCATATTGCCAAGAACAGTTAAACATGCGGCAAAGGGGAAATAGTTTACACATACTCACACGGATAGACGCACACCACACACACATATATTCATATAAATATATATATATATATATATATATATATATTATATATATATATATGGAATTATATATGTGGTAGTAATATAGTATATATATATATATATTATATATATATATATATGTATATACATATATATAATATATATATATATAATATATTATATATATATAATATAGACACACACACACACATATATCTATATCTATAATCTATATATATATATAGTATTATATATACATATAGACGACGAACACACACACACACACACACACACATATCTATATCTATCTATCTAATCTATATCTATCTATCTATATATATATATATACATATAGATGCACGAGACACACACACACACACACACACACACACA